TTTTGTCATTTGCTTAGCTTCCAAAGGATAACTGGGTATTACTTCTGTAGACAGCTCCTAGCTTCAGAAGGACTCTGAGTCACTCTTCTTACCTGCCATACCTCCCTGTCAAGGTGTCCAGGCTGGTCAAGTCACTCTGAGCTCTACAGCTACTGTAGAGAGTCCCCAGGTCACCTGCCTCCTGCCTGCCTTTCTCTAGGTTGGCAAAGTCAGATGTGAGTAATGCCGGTGGCATAGGTGCATCATGTGTCTCTCTGATCATCAGTGATAACCTGATGTAGTGATAGAAAAGAGGGTTCTTCATCCACTTGTGCTAAATTAGTTTGTCTATGATAATTTGTCTATGTCTTACCTTTGTATCACAGAATGAATCCACTATTTCTTTGTTAATTTGTTTGATCTCCTGACTTGGTTAGGAAAATACTTCATTCTTTGCTTGATGAATGCAAGTCTAGTGGTTACTGACAGCAAACTGTTTTCTGAAAGCTGTTTTTACCCTCTTTCTCAAGTTTCCTTTATGACAGTCTTTCCTTGAGCATCTGAGCAACCTTTTCCCACATAGAAAGGTGACAGAGGGGAATCCCTTCCAGTCTCTCTGGCAGCCTTGGCTTGGGTAGCCTGTGTAATGTAAGGAAGAAGGAGATGTCACTCTGCTTCCTGGGGTGGCGCTTTTTTAATCATTACCCATTTTGCATCACGTCTGCAAACCCTTCTTGCATGAATTTATTCTTCTGGGTCAAGTATTCTGTTCTTGGATGGGCTGCAGCCCCTCTCATGGCTCATTACCTTCCCGTACTTTTGCAGGTGTCATCCAGGTCTTTCCACCTGGCTCAATTTCTCTGTCCTTGCTGCATGGCTCTCTGCAGGCCTTGCTGAGGCTATGGTCACCTAAGATATCTATCAGTAGCAACTGCTGGGGGTCTGTCCTTTCTTTGTGCTAAGGGGCACATAACAACCTGTTACTCCATTTGCTGCTGGAGTTTTTTAGGGCATCTCCTAGAAAGCATGCCAGATGTACAGGACTGGGCTTAGCCTACAGCCTGGGTGAAAGGTGAAGTACATCTTGCTAGTGGCCGTTCACTCAGGCTCTTGGTGCTTCAGTTCTAACCCCTTCATTCTCCTCTGTTTGAACAAGGCAGAGAGAGAGCAAGAGCGAGAGTGAGCAGGAGCTGCTTTTCAGGATCTCTAGCAAGACAGGCTTCTCTTGGGTGATCTGTGAGTGGCTGACAGAGCTGGTGTCAAGACCACTCTGTAACAACAGCACAATACAGAGCGAAGCTAAATGTAGAGGTAAATCTGGGCCACTGTTTCTTTCAAGACTAAAACCCTCAGCTTTCCAGGCCTTTGGACCTGATATTCTCACTGAAGATGAAACAAACAGAGCAGCTACAAGGTTAGAGAGTCACTCAACATTTGTTCTTCAAAAAGAGCTTAGCAGCTGTGGTACTTTTGTATGAGTAAGACAGTTGTGTTTTATAAAATAAATTACAGACCTGTCCCTGTCTTTTTGTTCTATATTCCACATCCATTTTACCATTGTTCAATTCATTTTAGAGCAAGCCTGTGTCATTCACAATGCCACCAAAGAGATGCTGTCTGAGCTCTTAATGTAATGTTTATTTATCTCTGAGTCGAAGTCTTCTAGATTCAGGGTGGCTTCTTCAGAAGTTTTAATTCAGACTTGAGGGTAAAACTAAATGTAATCACTGTACTGAGTTAAATAAGAAAAGCAGCATTTGTCACTGGCAGATTTGCAGAATAAATCAAATGTATCTACAATGTCACTTTATTCTAAATACAATTTTTTTTTTTTTGAGAAGTTTTCAATCCTAATATAGTAGCTTATAAGCCTTGCCAATACTGTGGCTTATTAGAAATTACTATTTACAAACCTGGTTGTGATTTTTAGAATCATAGAATGGTTTGGGTTGGAAGTGACCTTAGAGATCATATAGTTCCAACCTCCTGCTATGGGCAGGGACACCCTCCACTAGACCAGGTTGCTCAAAGCCTCATCCAGCCTGGCCTTGAACACCTCCAGGGATGGGGCATCCACAGCTTCTCTGGGCAACCTGTTCCAGTGCCTCACCACCCTCACAGTAAAGAATTCCTTCCTTATATCTAGCCTAAATTTGTCCTCTTCTAATTTAAATCCATTACCCCTCATCCTGTCACATTTTTTCCATGAAAGATGTAATAATATTGATGTGAACTCAAAAAATAGGAAAGAGACTCTTTCTATATACAAAATATGTTTGTATCTTGTTGCAGCCAAACCTTCTCTCCTCTGTGCCCAAATTCTGATGCAGTCTGTCCTTCAGGTTACTGGAGACCAATAAATAATGAAATTGAGATTTGGTTTTCCTGCAATTTTTGCAAAATTTGCAAATGAAAACTTTCTATAGAAATACACTCCAAGACATAATTTTTAAGGATGTTTATGTTGGCTCTACTTTTCAGAGTTAGAGAGAAGCTTTTGTTAGAGGCATGTTTAAAATATTTAGTAAGCAGATGTGAGCTTACTCTCTTCACCCTTTGTTGCAATCCAGGTAGCTGTGATCAACATAGTACAGTACGCAAAATAACAAATCCTGCCAACAGGTAGGGCATGGATTTAGCACTACCCTGCCATACCTGTGCAGTTCCTTGGCAGCCCTGAGAATGAATGGAGTGGGCTGATGTGTGCCTGTAAAATACCACATGAATACGGAAACTCCTTGTCCCCCCAGAAAGGTCTGGGATCTTGAAAAGAATAATGGAACAAGCTAGATTATAGCTAAGTGATCTATTCATTTCAGTAAAGATATGCCATAATTCTCTTAATTTATTTCAGAGAAAACTAATTACATTTGAGTCATGACAAAATACGACAGCTTTTGTAATGGATAAGTCCTATTTATTTCTGTTTAGAGATTCAAAACATTGCTCTGCAGAGTAATGATCTTTTGTTTTGGCAGAAACCCTTCAACACATAGGCACAAGAGAAAGTTTTGTTTTAATTTTTAGAGACTATCCATGTCAAATAACTTTATTCGGGGGATTTAAAAATTGTTACATGAAAACAATGGCTTTTCATGAAGCATTCAAGAAAGTAATTGGCATTGAACTATTGAAATTGCCCAGATAGGATAAAAATGGCAGTAAATTGCGAAGGGTGGGAATTTCCAGAGAGATTAGGAACATGAAACCTGACACTACAAGTGAAAATTATGAGATTTTTGGAATAATACTATGAATTTCTCTCTCAGAAATGCAGGAAATGCTGTTTACATAGCACCCCTGCCCTATTTTTCCTTCAAAAAGAAAAGGTTTCTCACGCAGAGGGAGTAAGTGCTCTGTCCTTTAATAATGATGATGCAAAGAGAGAATTCAGGTTGCTGCTATTTCTGTCTGTCATCTGAATTGCTGCAGAACAGATTATAATGAACACTGGATACATTTTTTTTCTGGATTAGTCCTTCCACATGGCCACCTATCTCAAGTTCCCTATTAATTTCATAATCAAGTTAATAACTGGTAGGTTGGACCAATTTCTGTTTATAGATATGCTTATGTGACACCTGCTTGCAGTGTTAGAAATGTATAGTAGTGTCCAAATATAGAGTCTGTCTGTTTGTTTCTCATATGGTGATAGATTTAATCTTTTTTTTTGCATGGGTGTACTGTTAGGATTTTTAATAAACATAAATATTTTAAGGGATCTGATGAAAATTACTGCCTGTAAATTGCAAGCAGTCACCAGTTTGCTTTGCCTCCACTTTTCAGCCTCTCACTTTGTTCACCCAGCCCAACTTTAGCTTTGTCTGCTTGTTAAACCATCAATAGCTTTGACACGGAGCCTTTTCCTCTGCAACAGACTGTCATCCTATCTTTATCTCTGACCTAGTAAGGCCACTCAAGAAAACACAATTTTTTCATACCTGGCTTATAGTATTTAAGAAATAAATACTATATAAATAGACTAGATATATATACACACTATATATGGAAATAAAATTAAGGAATTTTGTTCTCTAATGTTATCCTAGTATTAATTCTAATATTCATTCATTAAGCTCAGAAACAATTTTTGAGTCTGATTATATGATGCCTTGTAAAACAAAATATCATTACTTTGAACTGTGTTGTTGCATTTGTTAGTGTTACTCATAAAAAACTATCAAATATGGCTTTCTCTTTTTAAACCCATGCTGGTTAGTGTTTCTCATGTAATACACAGCTGGATATGAAAGTAAGTCTAAAATGAAAAAAAATCCTCATAAAATGATGAAGTTTTGAATTGATGAGCTTGAAGTTTATGAAGTGTTCTTATCTGGTAAACTAAACTGAGCTACTTGATTTGTAGGAACCAAAAGAGCAAGAAAAATGATTGAGATATGCTTTATTAGGAGAGGCAAGAATGATTCTGTAGCTGAGATTCAGATGATCTGAATAGGCTTAATAGAAGACTCTTTAAATGATGGAATAAATATATACTAATGTATGCTGAAATCTATAAGGCAGGATCTCTTAAAGGGGGTGTGTAAAATGATCTACATACGTAATTGTATGTCACAGTTTAAAAGAACTACTAGCTAACGTGCTAAAATGATGTAAAATATGTACAAGGAAATA